GCTTGCCAGGCAGGCGCTTTGCCGCTGAGCTAAATCCCCAGCCCCTGGACCAAATATTTCAAAGAGAAGGTTCCAGTTCGGCCTTAGAGGAGTCAGGTAGATAACAACTGAGAGGTGAAGTAAACAGTGAGCAATATGTCCAAAAACAAAATACTAAAAAATGCTTCAGAAAAACACTTAAAAATCCAGTATTGTCTAGTCGCTATCAGTGGCTGGGAAAATTTGGTGAGGCATTTTGAAACACACAGAAAGACTGAGCATTAAGCTGAAGGATTCAGTCCGCACTCAGTAGGAGAGAGGATACATGGACAAAACTTTTTAACAAGGGAATGGGCTGACTACTCCAGAGTTTCAGACAACTCACAGTCTGTTGGAGTCTAATGGTGGAGAGTAAGAAGGAAGCCAAAAAAAGAACGGAGCGCAAATAAGTCATTTAGGGGCCTACTTAACTATTCTGTACAAGAACGAGGGGCTGGGCTAGGACATGGGCAGGACTCTAATTCATTTCCTTCAACTGTCAACAAACTATCTCTAATCTCCTTTTTCATTCCTCTTAAATACATCCTAGAATGCACATGTCCTAGAGCATTCTGCGTACTGTGCTCAATAAATAATGTTGTTAATGGAGACATTTAGGGAGATATAAGGAAATTTTCAAGCTCCTGTTTGCTGAGGGGAGGTTTGGGGGGGAAATCTGGGAAGGCAGATAAATTCTAATAGAAAAATCTAGGACTGAACTCCATCATTAACGTTATACATTGAAAGTCCCTTAGTTGTTAGATAACACATGGAGACTGTGCAGGAGTTGTTAAGGTTATGAGGGAATTCAAAATTGCTAAAAAGGAAGACTATCCAAAAGAAATAATTATAAGAATTTATTTCCTATGTCTATAATAAAATCAGGTATGACAATTTCTTTTATAATTTAAATGGGGATAATGTTCATAATAACTTTTACAAAAGTTCCAGAAATCTTTTATAAAGATCCTCTTCATTACACCCCTTATTATTTAAATGGTTTATATTATTTAAATGGTTTATTTAAATGATTATTTAAATGGTTTATATTATTTACAAAATAAAACAAAAAAGTAGTAATGGTTTATGTTGAAGACAGCATTATAAACAACTCCCATTTTAAAGAAAAGTCCATGTTTCATACATGTAAAAAATATCCATACATGTTTAGAATACATAATTTTAAAAGTATCAACTTTTCTTTACGATACACTAGAGTAGTAAAAGAATAGTAGTAGACTTGGAATATAAACCTGAACTTTCACCCTAATATGTATCAGTATCAACTGTGAGAGTTTAGGAAGCTATGACAAAGAGAGGTCATTTTTAACATGAGAAAGTAAAACCATATGATTTCTAAAGTTCTTCCATTTCTAACATTTTTTGACTGTTACAGTAAAACCAAGTTATATTTGCTTTTTAAAAGAGGTTCTAAGTTAACATTTCAAGGGTCAAGAATGATTAATGTCATGGTAATAAATTTTCATTTAAATGCTCCAGAAAGTAAAAAGATATCATAAATTTAAAGCAATTTTAAAAAACAAAATCAGTATTTTTTGGGTAATGTTTAGGTTTTCTTTTCCCCCCTAGTAAAGCAACAAGTATACTTATTCATGCCACGTCTTACCCTATATTGAAATGAAACTGGACTTAATTCTCGGAAACTTTCGTCGCCTTCATAAATAGATCGTAATGCTTCTAGTTCCATCTGAAAGAAAAGGATCAATAAGTTTTGTTTAATGGTATGAACAGATTAGAAACAGAGTGTTTAGTTCTGATTCGAGCCCACTCAAGATGTAAGCTGTAGCAAATTTATATGGCTTAGATTTTCAAGATATATGTATACATACTAACACTTCACAGTTACGCTAATAATACTTTAAAACTATGTGCCAAGCACTGCCAAACACTTTACACTGTATCACCTCACTAAATTTTCACATCAATCCTGTGACAGAGATACCATTGCTTTATTTTTTCTTTCCTAACATGTAGGAAAATAAGATTTTTTTTTTAAAAGCAACCCTAGAGCATGTGCTCTTTATTATTTTCCTGAAAAGTAGCTTGGATAGAAAAAGCACTAAATTTGAGAAATATGAAGCACAATATTTTCCCTTTTTTTACACAAATTGTTTATATCTGTAATCTTTTCCACAGAATGATACGACACTTAAATATTAAAGAGCAACAACTTCTAAGAAAAAGTTGACAGGGTTTACCTACTCAAGATGGGGGACAGGACTGAAAGAGAAAATTTAACTAGCAATCCTTGCCTGGAAAAATTTCTTAGAACACTGCAGTCTTATAAATGAGAATCTCAATCACTGATAGAGATAACTTGTGACCCCCAACAAAAAAGCAGCAAAGACAGAACGTTCTCGGGTCCATGTTTTAATTTTCAAAAGATTCATGTCATGAATTCTATAAATTAAACATTATGACCATGATCTAGAAGGACAGAATTTTAGACTAGATCATCAAGAGCTTGCGATGACCAAGGAGAGTGAGAAGTAACTTGTAAGACCTAGAGGAAAACAAGACCTGTCTAACTAAACCTTCTTAGACAGGGTCACTCCACCGGTAGATGAAATAAGAGCACTAAAGTCTATCTGGATTTCAGCAAGGCTCCTCTTTTACAGAAAACGACAGCAACAACAAATACAGTGCTACACTTAATCTTTGCCCATATTTTAATTAATGGCTTGGACAGGAACAAAAATAGAAGACAGGTTAATCAGATTTGTAAAGCTTTGCGGATGATAATTTGAAGAGACAGTGAATAATGCTGATTGCACAGGAAGACTCCTAAATGTTCTTGAAAAACAAATCAATTATGAAATTTAACAGGGTAGAGAATTTGTAGTTAGATACTTAAATATCCAAGTAAAGGATGAAAGACAATTTGCTCTGTGTATTCAAACGGTGTCAGCTGATAGTAAATCAGAAAATAGTGTGATGCCTGTTTTAAAATGGGACATAAATAAATTTAGAATTTGTCCATAAATCCTCAATTCTGAGATAGTAAAGGAATGGATAGTAAAGGAATGAATAGTAAAGGAACAGATTTATGAGGAAATGCTAATAGGAACCATTTCATCTGAGACGAGGAGGTCTTAAATACGGGGCAGAAAACTGTCTCGAAGTATCTGTACATTCATTCCCACGAGGAACAGAATTTTGTTAGAAGATTGCCAGGCTCCACCACAGAAACTCTGATTCGGCTGGTCTGACATGATGCACAAGTAAAAAAATCAGGTTCCCATAAAGATGGCAGGCACCTGTTTTTTAACAACCACCTACAGTGGTCCATGGGTCAAATTTTGAGAAACATTGAGTTCTCAGCTTTGCAGGGAGACAGTTATTTTTAATTGACACAGAATAATTGTACATATTTATGGTGTAAAATTTGGTACTTGGATACATGTATAATTTACACAACCATCAGATTCAATAGCATACCCATCGTCTCAAACGTTCACCATTTCTTCATAGGTGAGACCATTAGCAATCCCCTCTTCTCGCTATTTTGAAATACACATTACCCTGTCGTTTACTGTAGTCACTCTACTGTGTAACTGCACGACAGAACTCATTCTTCGTACGTGTAATTTTGTATCCACTGACTACTCTCGCCTCTCTTCCTTCCCAAGAGTCAAAACTATTAGTGCGTTGTTTTGGAAACTCGCTTGCCTAAGAATATTTTAAAGGGGCACTCAGATATTTATTAGCTTGCTGGATTTGGGGTTCTTTAAAGATAACTTCCAATCCACAAATCCCATCACATCTATCACGTAAAAACACCAACTTTCAAGCAGTAGCTCCTGCACAGCAGTGAACTCATGCTTATCTATACTACCCAAGGAGACTTAAATTCTAATTCTACCACATACTCTGCATGCCGGGGACACTGATCGACACCACCCTCGACACTCTTCCGCATCCACACACGTCTCAAAGTTAAAAGGTTCCCCCACGGCTGACCTGTAGCCTCCTCCCCTCTTTGACTCTGTATGATTCAGTGTCGAAACGACAATGACAGACCGACACGCAAACCCTACAGCTCAGGTAACACGCACAGACTCAGAGCAGGCTTCGCACCCACCGGACAAGCAACAGAGGAATACACGATTTCATTCACAACACAGAGAGAGGCCGGAGACACCGCTGTCCTTCTCCCGCACCAGACATTTAACACAACTAACCTCCTCCTTCACAACCAACGGCTTTAAAATTGAAAGGTGATCCGACAGAACGCGCGGGGACCCGAGCCCAGCGCCCGGGTCGCGCCGTCAGCACGCCCACCTCTGTGAGCAAGCGCGCGCCCAGACTTGCAAAGGCGCAAAGCTGGGCGCAGCCGGGGACACCTAGGCAGCCTCGGCCCACTCCCGCCAGCCGGGCTCTCCGCGCAGGGCCCCCGGCGAAGGCACGCGCGCGCCCG